CCACCTGTGCATTCAACTGAGTGTCAAAAATATGTGTGAAAAAAATTGCCCTCCGTGTGGACCATTTCAGACCTCACTCGTATCAGTCTTCCCATAGAACACTTGTTAGCTTACGCGTACATAGTGCTGAGTGTCATCAGGAATCTACGGATGCTTGCACTTTGGGCCGCAGGGACGTGTTCCATCATTTTATAAAACAGGCGGATACCTGTAGATACTGGTGTGGAAGGGCAATCCTCGACTCACCTTGAGCATATATGGGGATGGGGAAACTATACCCTCCTTGTCTCTTTCCAGCCTGGCTCTGCTTCCCTGTCTTTGCTGCAGCAGCCTCTGCTCGACCTTCCGGATGGCAGAGGTCTCCTCCAGTGGTCACTTCCGCTCTGTACCTCACTTGCTTCTCTACTGTCCAGCTCTTCTGGTTTTCATTTCCCAGGGTGTTTTGTTTTGTTGTTTGCTTGTTTGTTTGTTTGTTTGTTTTGCTAACAGTGGTTCTGGGTAGAGATGGGTCTCTGGGATGCTGGAGAGCTGGCCCTGAGATACTACATGGGGAAGTTCAAGTGCTGACTCAGCCTGTCTCCCAGGATGAGGTGACATTTGCTGTCAGCAACTTTTACCATGAGGGCCCAGATCTCCCTTGTTTCAGTGACTGGCTTACACTTCCTCCATCCTATCTGGAGCAGTAACAACAGGATATACTGAGAAATTCGTACTCTGAGCTCCAGCCGGACCCTCCCCCACGCAGACACGGTCACTATCAGCTGATCATATCTCCATGTGATCTCAGGCCCAAGGACTGTACCTGTGTCATGGGTCACATCTGCCTGGCTTCCAGTGAGAGTATATACTGGGCTGAATACCAACTTCTCTAGTGGTTTGGTTCATCTCTGGTTTTCCTCAAGTGTTGTGGTGATCCGGTTGGGTTTCAGCCTTTGTGTTTGAGATTCCCCATGGATTTCTGTGCATCCACCATCAGTCCCAACAGCCTGCAGGAAGGAGACAAGGAGATTACTGTAGACTCCCTGTGGGGCATGCCCAGAGCATGTCTCCTGAGCAGGAGCGTCTGTCGGGTCTGTAAGTCTTGCCTCTTGCTCTGTTTCTCTAGTACAAATGGGACAGAGCTCTTTGTTCCCACTGCCTGACACAGGCTGGACTAAACCACAGGAGTCCCTCTGTGACCTCACTGGGGTCCCTCTCTAAGGCCCCTGCCAGCAGCCCTAATTTCTTCTGCTCCTGTGCACAGCCTGGGCAGCCTCAGGGCACCCCTAGCCTTCTCCAACCCATGCCCCAAGACTTCTGCTCCTCTTCTTACACTAATATGATGTCGTGGTAGTTTTGGATGATTCTGTTTAAATCTTTTTGATCAAATTTATTATTCTGTGTTTGTACACAGATACATGTGCCACAGCATATTTGGAGGTAAGACGACAACTTGCCCAAGTCAGTTCTCAACTTCCACCCTATGGGTCCTGAGGGCTGGACTCAGGTTGTTAGGATAACATTAATTCTTTTGCTTTGGTGTTTTTGTTTGTTTGTTTGTTTGTTTGTTTTTGACAGGGTGTTTTTATGTAGCCCTGGCTGTCCTAGAAGTCACTCTGTAGACCAGGCTGGCAACTCACAGAGATCTGCCTGCCTCTGGCTTCCCAGTGCTGTAATTAAAGGTGTGAACCACCTCATCTATCCAAGATAACACTAATACTTGAGGGGATTAATGATACTAAGCTTTTTCACTTGAAGCTTGCTACCTCATAAAATAGAAGATGCATTTTCTCATCCCCTAAAATCTCAGGAAAAACTAAAACTCCCTATCTTTGTTATTTGCCATAATAATTTCTACAAATTTAATTAAGTACATGATGGCTTTAAGAAAATGCCAAAACAAGCTATCTGAGGCTTCTTTTTCTAAATTGGACCTAAGATGACATTCCTTTCTCTTATTTGTTTTTATTCCTTAAACAAATTCCTAGCAAGAAAGAAGCACCATTTTTCTCCCTCCTTGGCCTTTTTTGCCCTCATTTGTTTGCAAGGGATGTTGTCTCAAATGTGCAGCCTCGGGCTAATCACCCTGGATGCAAGTCATAGAAAGATCCAGAAGGGAGGCTATGCATCAGGGGTGCAGGCTTCGGGCCTTGAGCAGAGCTGGGGCATTCTTGGGATATTTGTGGTTACTAAGGAATGTTGGAGTTCAGTTTAATAATCAGAGAGAGAGAGAGAGAGAGAGAGAGAGAGAGAGAGAGAGAGAGAGAGA